AATGAGAGCAGGATACCAGGGATATCCTCGGCACTTTGCCCACACCAGCTGAAGCGGCTCCAGCGTTGGTTTCTGGCCGTGCGCGTGGGAGTTGTTGTGCCGGTCCGAGCAAATGGCATCCTCGGCGTGCCTGCTCCGATTATTATTCGTCATGTTTGTGGTAGAAACAGCCGCCATCGTGTTTCGCCTCGCCTTTATGCTGTTGACCAGCGGCGAGGCGTTTGGAGTTGCTGAGCGCAGCTTACCGGCCCTTCGCAGTAGCGGCGGCGGAGTGGCCGTGGAGCTGGTGGACTCACTGAGATTGGTGCGCCGCTTGCCGCGACCTCGTGCCGCTGACAGAGATGCTCCTCGCGCCATTGCGGATGGCGTGGATGTGTTACGTGTAGTTAGCCTCGGCGCCTTACCCTGTCGCGCGCTCAGTGGCCGCTCCTCATCCTCGTCGTCGTCGCTGGAGCTGCCTCCACTTCCTCCGCTACTGCTGCTGATGGCCATGTTTCCATTGTTGTTGCCCTGGGTGTGGTTTAGACTCGCATGCTGCATGTCCATAGCGTCTGTGGTTCCATCCTGCGAGGTGGACTCCCGCTCCTCGCTGCGGCTTCTTCCGCCGTCCCCGTCCGCATCACCGTCGCTCGCCTCGTCGCTGTCAAAGTCAGAGCAACTGCCCGACATGCTGAAGTCCGAGCAGCTGCTGCACGGGCTGCTGGACTGCGAGGGCGCATCGTCACTGTCGCTAACATCCCGCTGGTTGTTGGCTCGATACACGCGAAAGCTGTCGGGGATGCGCTCGAAGGGCAGGGGATCAGGAATTGGCAGTGCCTGGGTGACCGCCACCGCCGGATTAGGCGACTTCTTTGGCGACATGGAGGCGCTGTGCCTTAGCTCTGGCAAGCGACGGTATCGACCCGGCCTCTTGGGTGACTTGCCGCCCATACTCATTCCCAGTTTACTGCTAATCGACAGGGCGGTGGATGCCAGGCTTGCCGCTGCTGCCGCTCCAGCCGACGACGACACTCCCACTGCTGCTTGCGACGCGAGGGCTCCACTGCTAGCGCTGCTGCTGTTCTGCGTCAACGCAAACCCGGAGCCAGAGGGCGGTGCTGCGGCCAGAACATGGTTTAACGTCCCCGTCGTACTGCTGGCGGCGGTAGCAGCCGTAGTGGCGGAGGACGAGCTGCCGCTGGTGGACTGAGTGTTGGAGGACTGAGAGTTTTGGTGCTCCTCCTTAACGGGCGTCGTCAATGGCTCAGATGGTCGTTTAAGCGCCGCCTGCGACTTGCGGGTTAGTAATATGGCCGTTCTAGAAGGATTGCCAGGGATTAAGCATGGAAATAATGGATAATGGAACTGCTTTTGAAGTACAACTTACCTCCGATTAATGCCCACTGGGGAGCTGCTATTGTTGAGACTCTTGATTGGACTGCAGGGCGGTGTTTGCGTAGAGTTGAGCAAGTCCTTGGACGCTGCATCGTCTCCTTCGGCCTCAGCCATGGAGTCGTCATCAGAATCGTCTTCTTCGTCGTCGTCATCGTGCTCTACGTCCATATCGATGGCGCTGCTGTTCAGACGCTTACGCGTACGTTTTTTAAGGGGCGAAGCACCCACTGCATCCTCCTCGTCGCTTTGGGATTGGTTAGCATGGGACGAGTAGCGCTGCAGAGAAAGGTTTATTAAGGAAAAGGCTTGACAGGGAAATTCAAGAGATAAAGCGAAAACTCACTGCGGCAAAGCGCGCCTTTTGTAGACTTTTGCGCATCCGTGTGATTTCCAAACGGATCTGCTTAATCTTCTTGGTGCGGTAACTGGGATTCTTCAGTACCTGTGACTTGTCGGCGAGAATCAGCAATTTCTGGACAACGCCTTCGCTGGCCGGCGCCGCCAAGAGCTGGCGCAGTTCCTGCTCTACCTCCGTCTCCACGTGATCGACGTGCGAGCGCTGCGTCCGCTCCAAAAGGCCATCCCGCTGCAGTTCCTTGCGCAGCTGGACAAAGAGTGGCGCCGCCTGGTCGCGCATACGAATGCCTGCGCGATAGAACACCGTGTCCTTGTTGTTGTACGCCAGGCAGTTCTGTATCATCAGATCAAAGTCCGCCTCCAGCTGCTCCAGCGACGTGTACTGGCATTCCTTTAGCCTCAACCGCATCGTACCCAGGTCCATGGGCTGCTTAACAATGTCCGTGTAATCGGGAACCTCGCTGGTGTCGACCGGTTCGCGGAATATCTCCATGGTGTCACGCGCCTCCAGCGAGTCCAGCAGTTTGCCCAACGCAGACTCCAGGGGATTGAGTTGGAGCATCACCACCTCCTCGGAGATGCGAACAAAGGCCACCTTTAGCTTCTCTCGCTTTCGCACCAGCTCGCACAGTAGGCGCGCTCGCTCCAGATCTTGACGCAGGCACTGCCAGTACTTAAGTTGTCGGTAAAGTTCACCCGTGTCCGGCGATCCCTCGATGCCGTTGCGCTGGATCACGCCATGGTTATTGCCTTGGCTCTGAAGGCGTCGTAGTAGCGGCACGCCGTTGCGGTAGTGCCGCTTAAGCGTCCAGTAAGCAATAATGCGGTCGAGGAACTCCTTCTTACGTTGCATCGTCACCATGGTGGCGATCTCCTGGACGCGGTCGGGCGGAATCGTCGGAATGAGCACTACCGGCGCCGTCGAGCGCTTCTTGGCCAAAGCCTTGCGGGCTTCACGCATCTTGTGGCGCGTGTCCTCAAAGTCCGGAACGTTCATCTTCAGCTTGGCGTCCGCCGGCGTGTGGGAGTGGCAGTAGGCAAACTTCTGTACGTGCATGGAGGAATCATTATGGCCGTCCTTAATCGTGTCCATTGTCATGTAGAGGCCCGCCTGCTGGGCGCAGGTGACGTGGAAAGCGGCGTAGCAGCTGTTCCGGTGGCACTGAATGCACGCGCCCAGGCCCTTCTCCTTGCACACGTAGCAGGTGAGCCGCCAACGGGCAGGGGGAATGGTCTCAATGGAATCTGGGGAAGAATCACCTTTTAGTTTTACATTCAGAGGGAATAAGGGAGAGAACTACGCACCTATGGGCTCCAGGAAGACGGTGTTGGCGAACCGAACCTCCGGTATCCACAGGGCACACACCACGTGCGCCCACTGGCCGTGATCCGTCTGCTTGAAGGCGCCGCCTGCATTCGGACAGAGCACACAGTTCACGGGCTTGCTGGGCGACTGCAGGCAGCGCCGGCACAGCCACTGGCCCTCTGGGATGTAGGGCACGCCGTAGCAGTCCTGGTGCACCGCGAGGTTGCACATGTCGCAGAAAAGTATCACGTTCGTGTTCTGGCACTCGCCGTCTAAGCAAATGCAGCAGACGGCGTCGTCGTCCACCTCGACGCCAGTGGGAGTGCCGTTGGCAGCCGCCTGGAAGTGCGACTCCTTCTCCAGCCGGTCCATAAGCAGCTCCATGGTGTCAATGCCCACGGCGTTGAGTCCGAGCCGCTGCCGCTCCTCGTTCATGTGCTCCAGCCAGGCAGAGTCCTCCTCGTCCACATCGTACTCCACCTCGCCGTCCAGCTCCTCTAGCGACTTCTCGATGAAGCGGTAGTAAGCCAGCGGCCGCGGCGGGGCGTCAGGCACTCGGTAGTCCGGAATCTCGGCCACTCTCGCGACCGGCACCTGGACTCGGGCCCAGGGTGCATTCTCTTCCAGTGGCGGGGCGTCAGCGTTTAAGATGCAACCCCTGGTCACCAGGGCGGCGAACTCCTCATCCTCCACGAGCGGCAGGGCATCGTCGATGCCAAGGCGAACGCTCTTGCCGTCCAGATTGAACGTCACAGTAGCCTCCTCCTCGTTGTATGCCACCAGCGATTCAGGATTGGCGTACTGCCGACCGGCGCCACCTCCTGCCGTTCCACCACCTCCGGGGCCACCGCCAGTCGAGGAGCAGCCGTTCTTGGCGTCCGCCGCACCGGTGCCGGGATGGGGCTGCTCCTTGTGGGGCCGAGGCGTGGAGTGGTGTGCACCGGAGCGGGAGCGCGCCTTCTTCCGGCTTGGTGTCAGCACGGGCGTCAGTGGCTGCGGATTGTCGTGGTCGTACTTCATCAAATGGTACTGGAGCCCCATGATGGTCTTGTAACTGCGGTCGCACCCGCGCACGGGACAGGCGAACGGCGGCTGGGCCTGCTGGCTCTTCACGCCCTTGCAGTACTCCACGGCGTCGAAGTCGAGCCCCATGGCGGGATCTGAGGGATCGGCGGGATCCGCTGCAGCTGCTCAATCGCAGGGCGCAAGTCGCAAATCGCGGGCGATGCGATGGCGGGGCTTCTCGGGGTTTCGCGTTCGCGGGACACAGTCTCTACTCCGCGGCACGGCTGCTCGTTCGTGTGCACATCCCACGGAGGCGTAAATAAACGTGAAATATAAATGAAAACTCAGTTCTAAGCCTGTTCTCTAGCTTTTTTTAGCATATTTTGGCCGATAGGCCAATCTGACCAACTGTTCTGAAAAACCGAGATGTGCTAGGGATGGGAGATGTGGCCAGCTCGCCATGGCGATACTATTGGAGTGGCTCTTGTCCAGCACTGGCAAAACTGGCCAACATTTGTTCGATTTAATAGTAGGGCTGACCGTTAAAAATATTGCTCGCTGTGTTCTGTTACTATTTTTAGTTTTTCTTTACCGCTTAAAATCATTTGTCGTCATATTCAGCTCAGGATGCTGGTTCTTTAGTGCTTTGCAACACAGGCTCCTAGAGATGGTTGTTTCTTGAACCAGTTGGAACTGGTTCTCGGCCGCCTGATGATTCAGGTTAACAAACATTATAAAACCGGTTAAACACGTTTAAACTTTGTCAACGATAATTAGCATTTAGTGCACAATACGTTTTCGCTTCCAGTATCGCCTTCTGCAGCAGTTTAGTTGTGTTTTTCATTTTGCGCGGGAACTTCTTGTCAACGTCAGTGTTCAACAACGGCAAAGGAAGTGCGCTTTACAGCACACAAGGGCCTGTTAGCAGCTGTCAACACACAAAGCCGCTGTTAGCAGCTGCTGTCGCGCGTCCCCATTGCCGCCATTTGAAATAAACGTAAGAAAACGCCAGCCAGTCCCCTGGAAGTGTATATAGTTGTGTAAATAATCAAAATATTAATCAGATCGTGCAACATGGAGGACGTAATGGGCGTTCTCGGTTCGCTGTCAGACTTGCAGAGGGAATTGGAGGTCCTGCGTCAGGTAAGTCCCCGGGACCCTGCCGAATCCGTCCAGTTGGAGTCAACATAGCGTCCTTTTTTCAGTCCCACTTCCAGGAGCTGGACCAGCTTTTCTACGGCCTGGGGTCCACTTCCGTGACCAATGACGGGGAGGCCAAGGCGGAGGAGAGCACTCCAGCAGTCAGGGAAGGATCCTCGGTGACGCCGCAGCAAACCAAGAAGCGCGCCAAGCGACTCTCCTCTCTGGCCGAGGACAAGAATGAGCTCGAGACCAGTCGAGCCGCGGAGACAAGTCAATCCGCAGCCAACTCGTCGACTCGCCAAAGTGCTCGGGTCAACAACTCGCAGCTGTTGGCCATCGCCGAGGGCACCCTAAATACTACGGCTTCGCTAATGCCACCGCCGCCTGTACCGACTGTGGCGGACACCACCTTGAATTCCGGACGGCCACAGCGCGCCGCCAAGCTGAAGTCCGAGAAAATGCTTAAGGAGCCCTCTCTCAATCGCAAGATGCGCCGACCTAGCCAGGAGGACGTCGTCAAAGTAAAGGTGGAGAGCGAGCAACGTGCCTCGCAGTTTAACAGCTCCACCAGTGGGCATTCTAACCCGGTTAAAATGCCACAGAAGCAGCCAGAGGAGGATTCTGTACTTCCCGCTCCAAAAGAGCCGGAACCTGTAGTCAACGATCAGTCATCGGAGGATATTAACACCTCGAAGACCCTGGTGGTAAAGATCAAGCGCGAGAAAATGAGCAACGAGGGCTTGGTTTCAACCACCGAAATCACTGCCTCATCCACTGCCATTCTGGAAGCGACACAGGCTGCCCAGCCGAATGAGACGGTTTCTAGCAATACGACGACCACAACGGAGCCCGGCAAAAAGTTACGCAAGAAGAAGAAGGACATTGCCGAGTGCCATAGGCCCATCAAGATCGAGCGCTTCAGCGATCTGGACAAGGGATCACCGGTGTCGTCACGAACGCGCAAGGCCAGTACAGAGTCGCGTGCGAACCAGGAACATTCCATCTACACAGACGCGCTGGAAGGACCGCCACCCGTAGATCCATCCGAGACGGTGTCGCAAACCAACGCCACGATGGTCCTCGGTCCTGCCCCCACGTCAGATGACAGCCCACGGGGACCGGTTGGGGATGCCACCTTCGAGGTGCGCCCCACAGACAAGAAAGCGCCGACCAAGCAAGACAGTCTCCTTACCGAGGATGAGTCACTGGAGGACAAACAGCCCGTGGCTAAGACGCTTGCGAGCATCAAGGCAATGAAGCTGCCAGCTCGCGCCCACGAGCTTTTCAAGTAAGTATTCTAGTGATGTGCCTAAACATTCTTTAATTCCATCCCTGCCGCAGTCCTCTTCTTCAAAGTCCCGTGAAGATGCGCGTGGAGGCATTTGAGAACGCTGCCCAAGCACAGAGCAATCTGCGTCCCAAGCGCACTAAGGATGTGGTAAGTTGACAGCCTGCTTGGCGCATGTTCGTCCTATGATTTGTGCCTTTAACCAAATCTTTATATCATCTCTAGCAAGGCACGCCGGGATCAAGCATTACGCCCAAAGTGGGCAGACTCCCAGCACCGGTGGTGGGGCGCTTCTACACGCCTACCCAGACGACCAGCATGCTGTCTGCGAGCTCGGCGCAGCCCAAGAAGGCACCGGCCAGTGCCTCCAAGGCTACCACGCTGATGAAGACGGCAACCGGGACGAACCTAAAGTCCACCAACTCGGCCTCCACCAAGTCGCTGGTGCGCGAAAACAGCGGAGACGACTTCCGCAAAGGACTGCACAACCTGGCCGAGGAGCGTAAGAAGATGCGCGAACTAAAGCACCAGCAGGCCGCCCAGCAACGCGAGGCCAAGGAACGGGAGCGGTCTGAGCGGATGGCCAAATTGGCCGCCGAGCGTGCCAAGAAACAGGAGGAACGCAAGCGTATAGAGGAGCGCAAGCGACAGGAGCTTGAAGAGCAGCAGCGCAAGATGCGGCAACAGGAGGAGGCCGAGGCCCTCAAGAAGGCCAAGCTTAAGGAGCTGGAGCAGCAGAAGTTGCAACAGCTGACAGGGGCCAAAACCAAGAAGATGTTGCCGCCGCCCCCGAAGACCAAGTACACTTGGGAGATGCTTCACGAGGATGACTCGACTGATGACGAAGGCAAGGTTACTCACAAACGACCGCCGGCGCCAACCTGGAGTCGCAGTAAGTTTGCAGGATCTCTTACTTTGTGCTTTTTCTGGCATTAACTCTCCGTTTTTCCTAGGCCATGTGCGGGGAGACGCGATTCTTATGCAGAGCCACGTACCCACCGAGATCATCGACAGTTTCTTCTCGGTGGCGCCCACCACTCCGGACCTGAAGCAGATATTCCCGAACATCGATCCCAGCCTGCTGAGGCGAAACTCCAGCGTGCTGTGGTCTACGCCGCCGCGCTATTCCGAGCTGCCGAAGTACTAGCCCAGTAGTTCTGTTTTTCATTATCGTAATCGCACATCTTTATAATTGAATAAATAAAGTTAATTGTGAAAATTAAAGCGGAGTACCGCTGTCCGATTCACTGCCGGCCTGACACTAATACCCAGGTGCTTAGGAACTATTAAAGCCGCCAGCGTGCTCAATCAATGGTTCGCTGGTGGCCGCTTGCCGATTCCATTAGCGCAGCTGCCCAACAATGGAGGCGTCGAGACGTCGATTCGTGAAAAGTGTGAAAACGCAGAGGATGGAAAGAAAATAAGCAAGGCAAACTCAATTTCACTGGTCATGGGGCATGGTTTTGTGGCATGATGAGCAGGCTCTGTTCGTTTCTCCTTAATCATGTTATTGCCATTGTACATACATATATGCCTCTGCAGAGCAGAGTTTTCCTATACTTCATTCTCATTTTCATTTAAGATGAGCTTTGCAGAGATACTCGCAAACTGATTATGATTATAATGATGTAGATCTTTGAACGAGGGATCTAAATTTGCTATCGCAGAGACGTGTGTTCAATAATTTGCTAATACTCGCCAGCTCACTCAAAGGGCGTCCATCTTACCAAGAGCTTACTGACAAGTAATCTAGGTTCCTCTCTGAAAGCCCTTGAAACTTTGATCCAATTCGACACTATATATATGCTTATTTCTATGAATACACAATAAGTTTGCTTATCATTCAATGGTTAAATGGCATTGAAAATGATGACGAGAGCTTCATGTTAGAATATAAATATGTACATACATTTATATACCCTTTAACCTTTGATGTGCATATTTTCTGGCAAACGATCTGGGAGTGATTTGTGACATATTTGAATATCGGTTAATGTGGATTATCTCACACCGATTAGTTTTTTTTTTATTTCTAAAGAATTGGAGCAGATACTGTTGTAAACTTCAATGCCTTGTTGTATAGGATATTTTATTATTAATGGAACAAATATTATAATATTTTATAAATAATTTCGGTTTATTCAAAAGATTCGAAATTGTGTCACAACCTTAAAATTTCATTGATATTGTAGGGGCTTTTAGTTATAAGTTTGCTTAACTTAGCAATATTTTATGACATATTTACATTTTATTATAACTAAGAAAGAAATCTAACTTCGAAAAGTCGTCATTTTTATACCCTTTACTATAAACTGTAGGGTTATGGAAATTCGGAATCAATCATAGCTATGCAAAAAATTAATTAACTTAAAGTCGGACAGCTTTTCTTTTTACAACACATAAAAGGTGTCATTTCCCTAAAACCATATATGTATATTCTTGTTAGCATCAACAGCCGAGTTGATCCAGGCATGTTCGGGGAAAAAAAAAAATAAAAAAATAAAGACGATGCGTTCAAAACTATAACATTTGACATTTGAAAACCTATATTAACCTTCATATAATTTTAAAATAAATTATGACTAAAATCATTAGCAAGAATTATATCTAACATTAAAGTAGAAAACAAGATTCTAAAAATACATTGAATAAGAGCAATCGTGTTACAGTCTCGCTCCAGTATAGATGATTTTTAAGTATTGTCTATTACAAAAACTACATTTCGGAGTGTTAAATTGTAAATAGATTGTTAAATTGACCAGTTCAAAACATTAAAAAATCTCTTACAAAGTGTTAGAAAAATTCAAAAAATACAATTTCATTTTTATACCCTTGCAGGGTATTATAATTTCAGTCAGAAGTTTGCAACGCAGTGAAGGAGGCACCTCCGACTATATAAAGTATATATATTCTTGATCAGGATCAACAGCCGAGTCGATCTAGCCATGTCCGTCTGTCCGTCTGCTTCCTTTCTTGTTGTTGTCTAACTCAACAAGTAATAAGCAGCGGATGATTACTTTTCTAAACTATACTCAAAGTAAAATTTGTTAAATAATGAAATTGATTATGATGAATCTCTCTGATCCGATAAGGGTGTTCCAGAAAATAAAAGTTTGTGATGTCTTCAAAGGGTAGAAGAAGCCTCTTGCTGAACTTGGCTCCCCACAAGTACCGGGTATTAGGGCATACTGGCTGGCGAATCCACCACTCCCGAATACCTCGTTAAATGGCCGAAGAGCGGCAAGCCAAGTTTGCAGCTCCGGTTTCTCGTTTCTTCGGTTCGCCGCAGAGTCTTCGGGCCCACCTCAGTCAGTCTGAGTCGAGCCTTCGATCGTGGCGCACCTGTTGACGGTTTTCTGGTAGGTGAGCGCGGATCTGTGGATCCCAGACGGGACAGCGGCAAGAGCGGAGCTTGAAGATTGCAGATTGAAGAAGCCACTGTGCGTTCGCGTCTATGAAAAGTGAATAACTAAGCCGGGCCCAAAGCCAGCGCTGCGCCTGCGTGTGAGTGCGAGTGCGAGTGTGAGTGTGAGTGCCACAGTGCGAGCGAATGATGGAAAAAAGTCTCTTTCTCGAAATGAAGCAAGCGGCGAATATGTAAACGTATAACGAATAAATGATATTTGTGCGGTGTGTGCGACGTGTGTGTAGAAAAGCAAAAATAAAACACGAACCCCGCGGCGGCAGCAGCAACAAAAACATCAAAAAACTTTCTTTTTTTTCGCGCTACCTTTGTGCCGCGGTGCCTGGAAGTTTGTTAGTTTTGTCCGCGTCTGTGTCTGTCTCTGTGTCTGCGGCTTTTGTTTACGGTTGCTGTGAAATCTGTTGCAAATTCATAATTTGTCCGCCGTTTCACTCCCAATTAAAGAGCCACTCTGGGCCCAAGAGAAGTGATGTAGATGGGAATTAATTAAGATCTAAGCGAAGAGCGACCAGCAAATCACGTATACGCCAGGCCGGATGTGCAACCCGTCGGTCGGCCTACACATGTCCGCAAACTGCAATTCGATCTGCTAAATGGCTCTGAGCCAAGACCAAGACCAAGTCCAAGAGCAGGTCCCAGTCCATGTCCCATGTCCAGTGTCCAGTGTCCAGTGTCCCGTTCCAGCACTGGATACTGTTAGTTGTGCCATTTCAAGCGCACTTGTGCCAATTTTCCAGGCAACAGCAGCTGCCTCAGCCTGTCGCTGGATTTTAGCTTTTCGATAATTTAGAGTTTTACATTCCTCGGAGCCGCAAAACCGCATTTCCACTCGGTTTCGAGCTGGTACTGGCTCTGGCTCTGGGTCGGCGCGATCTTCAATTTGGTTGCTGTATTTTATATATATATTAATTTTTTCTGCAGTTTTGTTGATTTTCCCCTAACTGGTGAAATTTTTCATTATTGGCATTATTTATGTGCAAAATCTAATTGAAAATAACGTGCAGCTGGTAAGCACGCAAAAACATCAATCAAAAGATGCATGATTATGGAAAGCGCTTTGAGGCGAGTCAGAAAAGGAAAGATCACAAATCAGTAGAAATTTATTTCGCTTTTTAAAGAAGAGATCGTTTTTGGAGATGATAAGTAGTAAATGAAAGGATGTTCGGCCTTTTTCACTTTAGTTGAATGAACCAGCAGCTTTTGGTTGTTAATATCTTGGCTTATGCAATTTTTGGGTCTCATATGTATCGCATCTTTCTCTCTTTCTCTGTGTCAATATATCACCATTACCTTGTATCCTCACCTTTGTCCACCTTCCTCTTCGGACTCGATTCCCTCTTCTGCCGGCTCAGAAAATGGTTACGCAACCGAGGCAGCTCCGAAAAAATGGCTTACAAAAATCACATGAGTCATTTAACCAAAGAAGACTGAGAAAAATAAAAACTAATTACCTGCTGCAACTTCCGCCGAGCTGGCTTTTGGAAAGAAAGCACAGCGCACGCCCGATAATAAAGCCAAAACTATTTGAAGGAAAATGTAAACAAGCGGCAGCGTGGGCGAGTCGCTCATTGGAAAGAAACAACAACAACGAGCCGCTGAAAAATGGAGTCATTTAATGACAGCAGAAAGACAACTCGCCCACGAAGAAGACCGTGCCTGTGCCTCACGTACAACTTTCTATTTCACTGGGATTCTTCAAGCGTGCAGCGGAGTTTTCAAGGTTCCTCCCGGGACTTGGGTCTGAGTGTAAACAAAGGCCAGAGAGCTGCCAAAATCAGACCTGGACATGACTCAACTGCAGTCCAGTCGGGCTCTGAGATCACACACAACACAAACACAACACACACTCAAGTTGTGTGGTGGCAACCTTTGCCTTTCCTTTCCATTTGCCACCGCGGTTGCTCTGGATGCTTTCACTTTCCATCTAATGCCCGGCAATTGCTTCAGTTGCCGCTGACTTAGAGTCCGAAATGTGGACCTGTTTTGGCTTCTGATTAGCACGAAGGGCATTCAAGCATTTGGTAACTCCGAGCAGCAACCTCAGATCGATCTGCTCCAGATGATAACCGCTTGGAATTTCACTTTTGCTTTCTGGCACCTCAAATTGTGCTGCGACTTTCGCTGCAGCCAATTTCTGAGCGTACGGGACATCAATCAAAATTAGCATTTCAATCAGCCGAGTTCAGTTAGTCGCTTGAATGGACTTTATGCAACAACAGCAGACCCAATAGGGCCCAAAGGGTATCCGAAAGTGTTTTCTTTTTGAGCCGCTTAGATATCCAAGGGTTTGTTGACTTGCCAGGTTTTAAGTTATGTGGCTTATGTAAATGCTAGTGCGGGTTAAAGCGGCTCTGGCCTATGGCCGACTGACGTAATAGCGATCGCATTTTGCAGAAAAACTTGCCAAAGACAAAAGACTTGGGGCACAAACTTGGGGATAAATGACAGGCAGACAATGGCACAATTCCTGACCACCTTTCTCCCTCTTTTCAGCACTTATCTTGGCGGTCAAAGCCCAAACATGCCTCGCCCAAGTACGGTTCATCAATAAAAACAACAAAAATAGTGAAAATAAATAGTGGAAAGCCCTGACAATAACGCTTCAAGAGGCAAGCCAGTGTGGCCTCCGCGGAACCCAGTGTTTATGCAAACATGCGACGAAAGCCACAGAACTTAACACACCATAAACTATCGAGTAGGGGCCGAGCTGGAGACGGAGGAGGAGGTGGTGGAGAAAGGCCAAGTGCCACCTTCCTGTCGTCGCCGGCCATTCCCAACAATAGTAGAAGAAGAATGCCAAGAGACCATCGACAATTGATGGCCGTTGCCGTGTCGATGTTGCCGCTGGCGCTTCTGCTGCTCCTGGTTCAGCTAACAGGTAAGTCTTGGCTAGAAACCGGCAGTGCCGACAGAGACATGCCCAACAAAAGAATTTCACATGCATTCAGTTAATAAATTGAACCTTAATTGTGAGTGAGGTCTCTCAGACAACTTTCACGCCGTCGAACAGACTTGGAGGATGAAAGTTGCGATAGCAGGGCCATGATCTTTAACAAATCTTGGCAAAGATTCCCAATTGTTCATAGGATTTGCATGGCTCGATAATGAGACTAAGAAAAAATGGGGATATAATATATCTAAAGAAATATTTACAACGGAAGGGAATATTTGTTTTATTAAGAATTATACAAATTACTTATGAAATATTTATAATGAATATTACGTATTCTACATTCGTTTAATAATATGTTTGTATGAAAGCGTGTAGAATATTAATTATAATAATTGAAATATTGAAATACCTACATATATATATATAATATATTTTTTGTTATATCCAATTAGTAATCAGTTCTTGCTATTATTAAAGATTTAATTTCATAATTTTTTCTAAGTTCGAAAAAGAACCTCTTCCAGTATTTCTTTCTTTTCTCACTTGTGGCCTATCGAAGCGAGAATCGCAAAAGTTGTTTTGAAGAGAGTTTTAGATGGGGTTTTAGCCACAGGTTCTGCTCAACCGAGCATTTAGCTGCCACAAACGGAGATAGTGCAAGCCCACTTTTTCCTCACGTGAGCGCCATTACAATATTAAATTTGTTACGTTGCCGCGGAATGCCTCTTGTTTGCTTACAAAAACAGAAAATACCACACAAAAATACAGAAAACTATAAAGAAATTCTCCCCGACACGCCAACAGTTAATGAAGATGCTCGACGTATTTTTAGCTCGTACTCGTACGTGTTTATTCTTCTCCATTTTAGAAAGCTTGCGCCGGCTGCATAATTTATTAGGCGTTACTAAGAATGCACAGCTCTTGGGCACCTGAGTGCCTCAACTGCCTTCAAACTGTGCCAAACGTAATGAAGTGTGCTAACTGTACTGTTCCGTACTGCACTCAACTGTACTCTGGGCACCCGCACAATCGCGTTCAATTGTCGCGTTTTGCCAAGAAGTTTGTTCATTTTGCTTTTATAGTTTTTTTTATTTTGCACCTGAAATACGGGCTTGACCCACTAAAAATCGAGGCACGTATCTCTATCTCTCGTTGGGTGACACATTTCAAACGGCATAAGACCCCAAAACCAGGTCGATCACATCTGCATCCGAATCTGGGTTGTCTAGCGATGAATGCTGATCGCATCTCCTCGGCGGATGATTCATTGGCTCTAGTCATGAAGGGGTTGCCTGTATTGCACAACTGCGATTATTCATGCCGGATTCATTGACTCTGGCCAAGACAGGGCTGGGTCTTGGGTTTTTTTCGCGTTTCCTTGGTTCCATTGCAAAGTGCGTGACGCGCGTGAATCGAAGTTGATTAAAGTTCATTATGGCCTGGGCGTGCGTGGTTTATAATCGTTAAGTGACGCCGGACTGGGCTTATATAAGATGTGAAAATGAAGTCGTCATTAATGCACTGTGAGCAGACTTGGATTGGCCATGTAAAGAGTAATCAGAATGAAGGAGCGTAATGAAAATATCACGGATTCCTAACCAGCTTCTGCAGAAGATACTCTTTTTTAATGGCTACGTAATTAGTTAGAAGCTGTGACTTGACAAAAATAAAGACGGTTGTAATTCACATCTAATTAATAGTATGATGCCAGGTAATTATTAAACTCTGAAAAGAATTTATGTTCTTACGACACCATGATTATGCCTATTTAATGGATAATTAAATTTAATAAAACATGTTTCTATATAAAAATATGTTTGTAATGAAAATCGGGAGGAATTTATTATAATAATAATTATCTTTATTAAAGAAAATCCTATTACGGTAATTTATATCAGCATATTTTAATATTAAAAAAAAAATACTTTACCACAGAGTTCTTTAGCATGAATTCCTTGTCACGCCAATTACATATATTTCAATATTAATATAAAGCATGCCATTGTTGCCATGTTTAAAATATAAAGTTTACCTTTTGAACAAACCACTTGTTGCATGTGTTAAGTCTTTATTTATTAATTTAAAATCAAGCCAAGTCAGTATCATAAAATAAGGTGAGATAAATTGTTGTTTAAAGTTATGGCCTTATTGTTAGCAAGTTTGTATTGATAAAGGACCTTCATAGCTACGAAATAATGAGTATAAATAAAAAACTCTTCTTATTTTCAACTGATGAAGGTAATTTTCGATATTTATTATTGTCTTACTGTAGATATAGGTCCGATATGGGTCTAAGTACGAGATTGTTCACCTTTTCAGCTGACGTTGTTAATTTTCCATATGCATTACTTATAAAGCACTTCTAGAGCTTAGTGAAATTTCATTAAATTAAAATTATTTTAAAAGGCACCTGGTCTTGGTCATTCGAGTATACTTGATCAGCGATATTCGGCGTTCATCATCAGTTTGATGCCTTAGTTCGGATCTTTGGCGTCTGTTCATCTATTATCATACTTAGCCGGAGATTTGTGGCTTGTTAATGCCCATTGGGTTGCAACTTCCCAGGCACATTCCCAAGGAAACTCCCGCGACTAAGAGTGGCACGGCTCCATGGCTCCGCTCCCATTCACTTACTTATGCATTCCATCGAAAGGCTTTCCAGCAGTTAGCAGCGAGCAGTGAGCAGGCAGCCATTGTAACCGCTTAATTGCACGAATCCGGCCAACTGAGGCAATCAATTAAAGCTAACTGCACTGTTTACTGGGCCATTTGGGGTCTGGCTTGGCCGAAACCTTTCATGCAGCTAATAAGCTGGAGCAGTGGCTGGGGGGAAATGCACACACTTGGGGCGGGAGAATTTACATAGAGTGGGGTGGGGTGGGGGCGAAGTGAAAATTATTTCAACAGCTGAGCTGGCTTAATTAAAAGAAAACAGAATCTCCGTGAAACAGAAAGAAGCTGGCAGCAGCTGCCAGAGTTAACAGTTACGCCCGGGTAACGGCTCTTCGGGGCGCTCGATACACATAGCGAATTGAACTCTCTTTTCCATCGGAAAAGTGTCAAAGAAAGCGCCGTGAGTTGGGCTTTTACTCGTCTTCCCATCGACTGAGTCAGCGCTTTCTGGAGTGGAGCGATCGATGGCAGGGCTCGGGATCGGTGGCGACACTATAACCCGGTGACTTACTGCCGCAACCAGCTGGATTTTTACATTTCCCCGCCAGACTTGCCCCTCTTTCGGGCGCAACTGTTAAGCTGATTAAATTTTCAGATTAGCTTCTTCCACGGCCAATTTCCCCCAGCATTCTTTCGTTTTTTCTTTCTTATTTATTTTTCTTTTTTTGGCACATTTCGGTTACATGGCCCACTTGCCGGTGGAGTGACTGAGAGAGGGAAAATATAAATATAAATAAGCAAGAAGTTGCTGCGCGGTGCAAGAGAGAGCGGGAAGAAAGAAAGAAGCCGCCGCAGAAATTTATCGCTTGACTTTTTATTGGGTCAAGAGGCAGGTTCGTTCGGCAGGTTTCTGGTTCTCCTCCTCGAAGATCTTGGCTGGGATTTCGTTTCCAGGCAGTTTTTGTGGCGTCTCCTTGGTGGCCCGACTGCTCAAAAGGCTGGGAATGTTGACGCAATTAATTATGGAATTTCTGGGGACTTGCAAGCAGGTGAACTGGGAGCTGCGATTATCGGAAAAAGCAATGGATTGCAGGTTCATTCTTTAAAAGTTTAAGTTGGACAGGAAAATTAACGTTCGAAATTTGGACTTAAAGCAATCATTGTTCCAGGCTTTGTTTAGCTTCACCAGCTTCCAGCGTGAGCACCCCTGCTTTACATTCTTTCCAATCATCTTGTTAACATTCCCATTGGAAATCCCAAACTAGCTCCCTTTCCCTTTCTCACCAGAAAGTCTCGGGTAATTGAAGCTCACAATCAGCGCACATGCTGATCTCTCACATTCAATTAACTTAAACGCTTCTCCACCCCGAACGGCGCTTTCAATTAGACCCGAGCACTGCCTGAGCTTGATCTGGGTCTCCCGTCTGGGTTGGGATGCGATTCCCAATCAAAACATAAAGCCGAAGCCGTATCAATAACTGCGTACTTTCCCTTTCCCGTGAGAAGAGGAGCGACTCTCGGATTGGGATGCCCAAAACTGTACGAAGAAATTCGGCACATCGAAAGTTTGCCAGGCGTGCACACACGAGACCGGACTCCCAACCAGACACTGGGTTTATGCAGTCGAACAATTCATGATTTTAATAATTTCATGAACTTCTTAACTACTTCAAAAGAGAGGGTAATTTACATCGCTTATTTCTAAACTTAAAACTTATTGATTATCGCTACTTCTCTGTTCGTTTATATAAAAATTTTGTAAAGTCAAGGTCTATCGTTTTCTTTTAATTTAGATATGTATATAAAGACTTATCTATAATGATTATAAGTAATCTTAAAAATGAAAAGATTATTTTTATATTGCAATCCAATCTTCCGAAATGTTCAACTTTGGACAGCTTTTAGGTAAAAATCGTCAAATTCACCGCATAAACTTTGCAACAGACACACACCCATCGGCAGGTAAACTGAACCCACAATTTTCCCCCTCCGTCTCCTCGTTTTATGTTTTATTTTTTACTTTTTCCTTTTCTGGCCTTTGTTCGTTCTTCTTTAATGGTTGTCCTGAGGCGCTGTGGCCCCAGATGAAATGGGAGTGAGCGGGAGAAGCGGATGGAGTGCGGCTGGGAGACGGAGACCCTTTCAAGTGTCGCCGTTGACAATCAATGGCAATCAATGAAAATACTCCTTTACCTCCTAAAATTTACTATGGGAGAGCGACTCAAAACCAGTTGGTTGGCTGTGGAATGTTTTAATCGCGAATTCTTTTGGACAAATGTGTATCCAAGCATTGTTTTAGCTGAGGTAAAAATGTAAGGAACACAGGATTTGCACCATGTCACAAATACATATTAATGTTACGTTGTAAATGA